CTCTGTTATTTAAAGGATGAGTCTAACTAAATTTGGAAAAGCTTATGCCAAGTTGGGTACACAGTGGTGGAATTTTCCTTCTTAGAAATCTGAAGACTGTTCTGCTGTAACCTGCATTAGTAGAAAGAGTAACCATGTTCATGAAATCTCAGATCCTTGAAATATTGATGTATTGCTATATTTGTGTGTGTGTGTGTGTGTGTGTGTGTGTGTGTAAACTTCCTGTGCTTTAGGTATACAAAGATCCTGCTGTGTAGGAGCTCAGTGCTCTAGTAAGAATGGCACAGAGTTGTATCTGGATTGACCCTGTAATATATAACTTAGAAGGCTTTGGTTAGCTTTTTTTGCCATAATGAAGAAATCCATTATTTTTTCACTTTGAATCTGCATATAGGAAGCAGAAAGGGGCAGGAAGAATAAAAACTTAAATGTTGATGTTTTCTGGGGATGGCCTACCATGTTGTATATGTATGTTTGATAGTTCACTATAGAATTGGAGAGACAGACAAATGAAACCTTTGTATTATGGAACATTCAATGTCTGAATTTATGTGTGTGTGTGTGCACGCATGCATGTATGCTTTCACTATATATTCTACAAAAGTAGAATTTAATTACCCTATTGGTACAGGTCAACCTTTTCCATTATGACTTGCATAACAAGTAGAGATTTGTATTACTTCTTACTTTGTATCTAATATTTTCCTTTAAAAAGATCTCATATTAGGATTGCACATTATTTTTGAGGGCAAATTATTTTAGCCAATACAGTAAATGACCCTTTCTCTTGAGGAAATGCTGGTTGAAAATAAAATCATTTTATATGAAATAATAGAGCATTTTGAAATATGTTAATTTTATATGGTTATTTAAATTATGATTTGTGTTATTGATTGACACAGGGAATTGCTTATTGATTAATGTAACCTCACTAACTTCAATTCTGTTTTAGAGTACTTTATTTTTTCAGCTTCCTTGTTAGCAGGAAGTGTTCAAAATGTTCTTGATTGGAGAGTTAGAGTGTTGTGGTAAAGATTCTCATTATGACAGTGGAGAATCCATTTGTTCATCAATCTACAAAAATTTATTAAGCATATACTACATGTCAGGCACAATGCTAGATACAAACAAAATGAAAGGATTACTTTACTGAAAGAGCTTACATTTTTTGGGAAGACAACATCTAAATAAATAAATAAATGTAAATATATAAGCAGACACATATACATAGATCTATATGCATAGAAATACCCATAGATTCTACCTATAAGAAGTCCAACATCATAACCACAACACTTATTTGCAGAAAGGATCTTGTAAGTTGAAGGTATCATGAAAGACTTCATGTAGAAAATGCTGCTTGAACAGGATTCTTCAGGAAATGAAGACTTCTAGGTGGAAGAAGTAAGCTAAGAATGGACTCTGGGTGTGGTGGACAACCACTACAAAGGCACAGATATGGAATATCTTATAAACGACATGTAAGAATCAAATATGATGGTAAACTAAACAGTGTAATGTAGGAAGAGGAGTAATATTTAATGAAGTTGTAAAGATAGGTTGGGCCTAGGTTTTAGAGGCCTTTAAAGGCTAAACAGAGGAGTGGATTTGTATTTAAGCCTAGAGGCAATAGGGAAACAGGGAGTGTATTGAATAAGGTAACAATGCACTTTATGAAGTTTGCTTTGGTAGCTGTGTAGAGAAAGGAGTAGAAAAAGGAAGGCTAAAGGAGGAATATCATTTATAAGGCTATCACCATCATTACGGAGATCAAGAATAGATAGATTTAATTCAATTTTATTTTTACAGTTGAATTGACTTTATTTATGTAGTGGGAAATGCAGCAATAATAACTCACCAGTTGAACCACACATAAACTTGTCCTTTTTCTATTAACTTTATGCTCTCAGAGTCTAGGCAACTCTTATCCTGAGGATGGCTAAAGCAGACTAAATTTCAAGAGATCCAGGTTAAAATCTAAAAAGCTATAAGTGTTGTGGTTATGATGTTGGAGGTTATTGTAGGTAGAATGTATGGGTATTTCTATGCATGTAGATCTATCAAAGAAAATCTTGTCTTATTGCATTTTCCTGCACAACACATCTCATATCCACCCTCTCTTCTCTCCTTACAAGATCTCCACCCAAATTCAGGCCCTGATCATATCTCAGTGAGAATTTTTCAAATACTGAGAAATAAATTGTAGAGATAATAGAATAGGGCATGGTCACGATATTAAAAGTAAACCAGCAAAGAAGACTGAAAGAGAGTAGTAGTTGGACATGTAGGAGGAAAAACAAGAGACAGCGATGTCATGAAAAGCCAGTGAGAAAAGAGTATCTAAAAGAAAACGTTGTTTGTCAAGTAAAAAAAAATGTTGAACACCTATTATAAATCAGGCACTGTGCTACATGCTGGGGATAAAAATGCAAAAAAAAAATAAAGAAAATTCTGACTCTCAAAGGACTCACATGTTAATGGAGGGAGTAAACACATACAAGGAAGTTAAAAAGTTAAGGTGGAGGGACAGCCTTGTGGGAGTATGAAGGAGAGTCTGGAGTAGAGCCTAGAGAGGATGGTTGGCCTGGGTTCTTTCCTTAAAATGAAGCTTTTGGGAGGGACCAGTCAATCTGAGGTAGTGGCCACAGAAGTGTCATGAATTTTGTAATGTGAGAAGACAACTGTTGTCAAGTATTGGATGTTGCAGAGAGATTAAGAAGTCAAGAAGGATAAGCCTTAGAAATGACCATCAGATTTGGAAACTAAGAGATCATTGATAACTTTGGAGAAAATAATTTTAGTGGAATGATAAAGTCAGAAGCCCAATTACAAAAGTTTGAGAAGTAAGTGAGAGCAGAGGACTTGGAGGCAATGGCTATGAAAAGGAGCTAACATATAGAATGATAGATTGTTAGGATGTCAGGGTCTAGTGTGGGTTTTCTCGTGTTTTGTTTTTCAGAAAAGGGGAGATAGGCATACTTATACTGCAATGGGGAGGAAGCAGTAGATAGGAAAAGACTAGACATTAGCAAGGGGTCTCAGGATGGCTGTGGAGACAATCTGCTGGAGATAATAGGAAGGGAAAGATTGAGGTTTTGACCTTGGGGAGAACAGACACCTTTTCATAAGAAACTAGAATATAGAAGAAAATAAGAGCTTATATTAAAGTGTTTTGAAACAGAAAAGCAATGGTGGATTACTTTTGGAGGTGGCTCCCAACATTGATGAAATCACATGTCTGAGTAAAACAAATAAGTTTCCTGATCATAGTTAAATTTATATCAAGTAGTATGCATATTAATATATATTACTATATAATAGTGTCCTATAATACCTATAATAGGGGAAAGCCATAAGCAAATTAGCTATAATTCCAAATTTTATTCTATATGAAAGCTAATTTAGTGTGTGTGTGTGTGTGTGTGTGTGTGCGTGCGCACATATACATGTGTGCCTGTGAGGATTGGTTTATTGCTAGGCCATAGCTGACAGAAGTGATTCCATGTTTGATTACTGATTGACCCACCTATGTACTGGGAAGTTACTGTTGGGTACTGTGTACACAATAACTAACTTGGTAAGTTACATTAAGGGTTAAGAATTGATCCAAACTTTTAACATAGCAAAATGTGTCTTTCCCATTTGAAGCCTTCTTAAATTACTTGATTTCCTACCAATTATAGGGGGTAGGAGGAGGATTGTAGTCCAGGCTGCCAGTGGATTAACTACCCCTAAGATCCTCCTTTTACTTACTCCTTATAAATGTGCTTAGAAACAAGAATAATATATAAGGGCAGATACCTAGTAGATCTGGGCTCTTGATGAGGGTGCCCATCTCAGGGTACTCATCCCATTATACACCTAAGTCACTGTTTCTTTGTGTTCTTGTGGGACTTTAGGGCTAGAAAGTCACATACTTGTATGCTTATGAATATAATCTGCCTAACACCAGATCCTTTCATTGTTTATGTTCCTTCTGGATACCCCTTTAACCATGATCTCCTCACAGTGCTTTGATCAGAGTATTAACTCATTAAAACTTTTATTGACTTTATTCTCCTAATATGAAAAATGGCATTTGTGAATGAAAGCTTGTACTCAGGTGATAGGCTGTTAAAGAAATAATTAAATTTAGTAATAAAAGCTTATACCCACCAAATTAACTGTTATTCTAATTATTCTCCCCTCTTTGAGCTTTATTTAATTTTTAAAGTTGGACATGTATTCATTTTGTGAAATCTCATCATATGTTTTCATGAAACACTGGAAATCATTGGTTTTGTGTTTTTTTTAAAGCCTCACAATACTTTTCTCTAAAATATACTGAAGAAAAGATATTATAGTAACAAATAAACAAAACCCACATTGCTTGATAAATAATGAATGTGTGTGTTGAAGATCATTATTGGGAGGGGCAATTTGTGAAAATATACATATTCTATGTGTTAAAATATACATTCTGTGTTTTAAATATACAAGAAGTAATATCTGTTTTGTTTTTAGTTAAAATTTCCATCCCACTAATAATTCATTTTAGTCATTTAAAAAATCAGTGAAATATATTAATGGTATGCTTAATTAAATCCACTACTAGGAAATAATTTTGATTCATAAATGAAATGCCTCATATTTCTGTGTTTCAAATGCTCATTCTATAATTTAGCCATGCAATTTTATCATCATGAGACAACAATATAGTTCAGCAATTAAAATCTTTAAAGAAAACCAAAACTTCTCTTTCAATGTACAAAGATATTTAATTTGGTTCCTACAACAGAAACTTTAAAAGCTTTGCTTCCAAAAACAATTTTAGTAACAGAATAGTAAGAAGTATTAATTAATGGATTTTTTTGCCCTTTGAGTAGATGTTCTCATTATTTGCTGTGTAATTTTGCCAGGATACAAGTGCTCAGTATTATCTTAAATAAAGGCTGTGATTATATTTTCTAAAAATCTGTATTTCAAAAGCTCTAATTGTTAACATTAATTTCCTTTTATAGTCACAAATATCAATCAGTGTAGAAGATTGGGAAGACACCAAAGATACCAAAGAGCAAAGTCACCATCGCAACAACCACCGTAATTCAACATCTAGTGACCAATCAGATCACCCGTTGCTGAGGCGAAAGAGTATGCAGTGGGCACGTAGGCTCAGTAGAAAAGTTCCAAAGCATTCTGGTAAAACAGCTGAAAAAATAAGCCAACAGCGACTGAACCTGTATAGGAGATCAGAACGACAAGAGCTTGCTGAACTAGTGAAAAACAGAATGAAGCACCTGGGTCTCACTACAGTGGGATATGGTATGACCTTTAAAAATAGTATTTCACTTTTTTTACACCCTAATTGGGAGCTGTTCAAGGAGATGTACAGAAATCAAGTAATTTAAGAAGGCTTCAGATAGAACTAATCTTTTTTGTCTTTTTGTTTTACAGCTCAAGAGATATGGATTGTTGTAAAAGTTTTGCCAACTTAAATATAGCTCTACTCCTTTATGTGTATAAACATTAACTACACAAATGCAAACCACTGAGTTTGAAGCATTGGGCTACACGGTGTTTCCATAAACCCTAAATTGACTAGAATGGCAATATGAAATTTGCTCAAGGTGGTTTGCCAGAATTCTTCTAAATGATAATCTGTGTTTCTGAGATCTAGTACCAATACTTTTGGAGCTGGAGTAAGAAGGAAAATGACAAATCAGGGTGAACAAATATTGTGGTCTCAGTTTTAGCTCACCCTTGTTACAATTTTCCTGAGATAATTCAAGGATAACTTATTGTTTGTCCCTCTGCTCTAATGCCCCCAAATAGAATTTGAGAATAATCCAAATGACAAATTTTAATTGATATAATTATTTTACCCTAGAAAGTCAGTACAGAACATGTCAGAGGAATCATGATAATGAAACATGTTTCCTTTTTGCACTGATTCAGGCTTCATCACTAATGTACATGTATGTGTATGAATACTTAAAAAACTTTGATGAATCTATGATGTCATAAATGGGATATGCCTTGTAGTAATACAGATTATAACCTATCCCTACTTTTCCATCTTAGCCAATTCTTCATATTTTTACATGAATTCTTCATAGGAGAACCCAATATACTAGAGCATTCTCTCACTCTCTTTTTTAAATTTTATGGCTGCCTCTGTTGCCTTCAGGACATCTCTCTGGTATCTCTTATTCTTTCCAAATTATTTGACTGCCTGCCTTTTTTATTATTACTATTTTGATTTATCAACAATCACTTCCTTAAGCTTTTGAGTTTAAAATTTTTGTCGCCCTCCCTCTCCACCTTCCTCCCCTACATGGCGTTCAGTATGATATAGACTATACATATACATTCCTATTAAACATACTTTCACGTTAGTCATATTGTAAGGAAGAATTAGAACCAATAGGAGGAACCACCAGAAAGAGAGAAACAAAACAAAACAGAAGAAAAAAAATAGCAAATAGTATGCTTCAATCTGCATTCAAACTCCATAGTTCTTTCTTTGGATGTGGATAGCATTTTCTGTGATGAGACTTTTGGAGATGTCTTAAATCCTTGCATTGCAGAGAAGGGCTAAGTCTATAAACATTAGTCATCACACAACGTGGCTGTCACTCTGTACAACATTCTTCTGGTTCTGCTCACTTCACTCAGCATCAGTCCATACAAATCTTTCCAAGTTTTTCTGAAGTCCACCTGCTCATCATTTCTTATAGTACAATAGTATTCCATTACATTCATATACCACAACTTGTTCAGCCATTCCCCAGTTGATGGGCATCTTCTCAATTTCCAATTCTTTGCCACCACAAAAAGAGCTGTTCTAAATATGTTTGTACATGTGGGTCCTTTTCTCATTTTTATGATCTCTTTAGGATACAGCCCTAGAAGCTGCCTGCCTTTTCTCCAACTCTACATCTCCATGACAATAACTTATAAGTTATGTTTTATTAATCTGGGATCAGATTTTTCAGCCTACTTAGACCTACCTTGTGTCTCTCTGTGGCCCTTTGGATCTCTTGAGATATTAATCCTTCTGAAATTGTTGTGTTTAATTGTTAACAGACAGATAGTGCAGGGAATGGAGTGTTGGACTTGGAGTCAGGAGACCCAAATTCAAATTATGCTTCAGACACTTGCTTGCTGTATGACCATGGACAATCCACTTACGTCTCTCAATCTAAATTTCCTTATCTATAAAATTGGCCTTTCCCATGGATGTTGGAAGGGTCAAATGAGGCAACAAATGTAAAACACTTTGCAACTATTAAGGCTTTATAAAATGCTAGCTATTTATTATTAATAGTAATTTAATATACTAGTACAAAAAAGTAATTTTTTTTGAAGTTTGGTTTTAGTGTCAGAAAGAATAAAATTGTTTTTCTTTTTAGTACACCTTTATTCCACATGCCTTTTGGTCAATCCCAGTCAATCTTACCATTTTTCAGAACTGACAATTTGAAACAGTTATTTTAAAATTAAAGTACCATTTTCAATGGATTGCTTTTTAATTGTCCTTATTACATGTAATTGCACCTTCTATTCTTTCTCCTAATTTGACATCAGTTTTTGACCTTGGCTCTAATTGCTTGATGTTCTCAGTGCACATAGGCATCTGATGCTGAAATGACTCCTGAATCAGTAACTAACTTTTTTTCTGCCTGTTAAAATAGACAGTTTCCTTTGCTATGCTATTATTTGGAGGTGACAAACTGCCACTTATAAGCAAGAGACACCGTGGTTGAAATCAATAGATGTGTGGCATTTGTACATAGTCTCACATTCAGCAAATATTTTGAAAGAATATCAACAAAATTTTATCCTATCCCCAAAAATCAACAAATAGGACTCTAAATAATGAGCTTATTAATAATATTCACTGAAATTCTGTTCTCTTGCCATAATTTGCATTCTTTGTTAATACCAGCTTGCTCCTTATTACCTGAGACATTAACTTAGTGTACATCTGTGTTATTTGACAAGCTTATTAATATATTACTATTTTTGCTTGTTTCTGCAGAAAAGTTGGTAGAGGGTTTTATGTAACAATTATGACTAACTTGCAGTGAAACAAATTAGTTTTGCCTTCTTACATGGGGAATCAAACAATACTGAAGGCTTTTTGCCTTTTATAACATCAAGAGGAAAGAAATGGTACTAATTTTACCAAAAATTCTCAATGGAGTTTTTACAAACAGGTCTAGATCTAGGCAAGAATATAAGATATGAAATTTTTTGAGGGGTTACCTTTTCATTTTCCATCTCTTCACCCAAACCTCTCACACAGGAAAAACAAAACAAAACAAAACTTTAGACTGTTTATTTAGTAAATACGGTATTGAATTTGGAGTCCAGAAGGCCTGAGTTTAAATTCTATTCTTAATACTAGCCTATGTGATCATATGCAAGATATTCAACACCTCTGAATCTCAATAGTTTGAGAGAGATAATAGCACTGACCCTCCTTCTATCTTTCCAGGTTTTGTTTTTTTTAATTTTGCTTCCCTCCCCATGCTCTAAAATACAGCAGCACTGCTGTTGCTGTTACTTTCACACAACACTCCAAGTGCTTACTCCTTCCTTTTCACTAGCTATCTCCCATGCCTGGAATGTTTTTTGTCTTTGTCTTTGCCACCTAGCTTCCCTGTCTTCCTTCATGACTCGGGTCAAGTCTAATTTTCTGCAAGAGATCTTTCCTGCCCCAGCCAGTCATTTAGCGTCATAATATTAAAACCGGATCTCTCCAGACAAAAGCAAGGGCTTCATACTGCCTTTGTTAATAGGGCTCAACTCCAAAGCTACACTGTTTTGTAAATGCTGACCAGTGCAGGACAATCATAGAAAATAATTGCATCCTCAATCCTAGATTAGAGCAAATAAGAAATGAAATTGAGGAGTCTCTTAAATTTTCAGAGGAACAATCTGAAAGTTCTGCAGATTGGATAAAATTTTAATGCATATTCCAAAATTGCATTTAATAACGAAATAGATGACAAAAAAGTAGCAATAGCATAAATGATTTTGAAAATAGTATGGGCATACTTATAACGGAAATCCAAAAGGCTTTTTTTGAGTTTGATAAAATGAAGCTAACTAGAAGATACATTATACCAAAACCCAGTAATTCTAAAAAAATTATTTTATGCAAGAAACATCATGAATAAATACATTTTCCAACAGTATTTGACAAAAAGTGTAAAAAGATTGCAGGACCTGTACATTGCAGTAAATGCAGTAGCCTTTGCCATGGTAAGAATGACAAACACAAAGCTGGAGCTGTCAAGGAATACCCTTAAGAACAAATGTCAAAAACCACTCTGGCAGAAGTGATTTGAGAGCACTGTTAAAGGTCTGTGGAAAGACACTGGGAAATTAAATCAATATCTAGTTGGTACACAAACTTGTATGTTATATTGCACAATAAAAGGAAAGAAAAACAAAACATACAGAAAGGATTGTAGAAAAGAAAAGCATATCAGAAACTCTCAATTCTGTTAGCAATTGAAAGCAAAATTCAGAATTTTAAGACAAAACAAGGATAAAATAAGTTTAAGACAAAGTAACCCAAAGAACTAATAATCATTCACCACCAATTATAAATTTGAGGAGAAATAAAGAAAATGAGGTGAGGAAAAAAAAAACAGGAGGAGAGTGTGGAAATGTATGGCCACCAATATTGTCTTACGACATCCAAAACAAGAAAAACATGTTAAACCAAATATAAAATGGAAAGCTTGCACAGGGCTCATATAAAGAATGCCATTATAGCCATGTTCAAAGAGGTGATTGAAAATCTGCCTTCTCTGCAATGCTAGAAAATGACAGAGACAAACAAGATGCATAACTATTATCTTAAATGCTTGATAATAAGTCATGATTTATGAAGGAAAACACTTACAGTTTCAGCTCAGACATGAGTCTGATTTAATTTTTCCTCACAGAGTGCACCACAAACTTTTCCTGTTACTGAAAGATAAGAACAACAGTGACCCTTCCAAATACAGGCCAATTACATATTTGTGTACTTTATGAAAAGCATTCACTGTTAATATGTTATATATGTATATATATATACACATAAATTACATGCACCTATGTGTATATTTTTAGGAGAAAACAATGTCACCTGAGGACAAAAAAAAGCATGCCAAATTTTTTTATTATTGATTTGGAAATTGCTAAGCAAGCTGCCTGAAGTGCTATGACATTTATTATTACCAAACCATATTAATCCCTTAGTGTTCATGGATAGCATCAAGATATTTGACTCCATGGAAAAGTAAATTAATCATCTTCTTCAT